AAAGGGTGAGACTCCCCAAGAGAACTAGTATGAAGGAAATCATATCCCTGTGCCTTAGGTTTTTAAAAATTTTTCCAGAAAAAAATGTGCATTGGAACTTTTTGGCTGGTCCTCATATGCTTTCCTTCATGCTTTTCTTTAAATATTTTTAACTCTTAAGACAAGGAAGTTACTTTTTTTATTTTCTCTTTTTACCCATATTTGATTTGTTTGAAATGACAAGCTACATCCTTCAATGAATAGCTAGGTCTCTTTGTAAGAGTATGTTGAATTTACTAACCATGCATTATATGTATTTACATGAAAACCATGTTTTGAGTTAAAATGTGTTGCCAATCAGTACATTTTGCACATTCATGTAATCATAAAACCAGAAGTTGCAACCAAGGTGCTGAGAGCAGCATGGTTACTTTGAGAGACCCCAAGGCCTAAGGATTGGCACTCTGACAGTATTCCCATCCTGGTGAATCCAGTTTCTTGAAATTTGATCACAAATTGGAAGGTATTTTGCAAGTGGCCTTGATATGTTAATATGTTGTTAATATGTTAATATGTTAATATGTTAATATGTTGTACAAAAGTCTCATCAGGGGCATGATCCTGCTGTCAGCTTCTAGTGTAGCTAAGACCTTTTGACTTGTCAAACTTATTTTATAATTACCTGGTTCATTGATCCTGGACAAGTAATTCCTTGATTAGACAGCAATTGTTAAAGGGAGTGTGAGAGCACAGAAAAGCCTGCTCTTGATATGCTTGACCCATCTGCATTATATGATCACGAGGGCACCTGAGTTTAGATCTGTCAAGACACCTGTAGTGGTGTCTAATGAAAAGGTGATCAATTGAAATTATTTTTCATAGAAATTAATTTTGTCATGGGCAATGAAAATGCATGCATTTCAGAAAGAGTAATGACTGGTACAGTCCTGATATTAAAAAAAATAGCCAAATGGGTCTATCTGAGGAACAGAGGAAGATTAACAGTTATGATCATGTGCAAATAGAACACATTGGGTCCTGATCTCACATAAAATTTAGGTTTCACTGTTTGATTGAAACCATATTTCGGAGCAATCAATAATAATTATACTTCTTTCAATGATCATGGTGCTAATGATAAAGCAGCTTCGGGATATTTTTTTCCTGTGTACCCATGAGCTTGGTCCCAGACTTTCTTCAGCTGTGGCTGCAAAGCATGTTGGCTGCTTGAAGTCAATGGCACATCACTGGGCTGAAATGTTCAAAAAGACCAATGGTGTGGTGGACAAATTAGGAAGGGGAAGAAAATGGAAGACCATGGGAAAGGAGATTGAGCTGATTGTGCTCGATCGTCCACCATGCTGCCAGTCTTTTTGAACATTTTGACCCATTGATGCGGTGCTGACTTCGAGCAGCCAACCTGCTTTGCAGCTGCAGCCGAAGAAAGTTTGGGACCATCTTATGGGTACACAGGAAAACAGTTTCCCAAAGCTGCTTAGTACCATGATTATTGAAAAAATTATAATTGAAACTGAAAAATGGTTTAATCAGTGAAACCTAAACTTTACAGGTGATCAAGACCAAACGTGTTCTGTTTGCTCACATGACCACAACTGTTAATCTTGCTCTGTTCCTCAGATAGACCTGTTTGGTTATTTTTGAATAGGACTGTATTCGTTGTTACATTAATAAAAAAAAACCATCAGAAGGATATGACTAGTTATTTTCACTGCCTTTTATTAATCCAACTTAGGGAAAGGTTTGGTGTACCCTGTCAAGGCATGAATTTCAGACTGGCCACTTCAATGAGGAAGTTTGCCAGGTGATAGTGGTTCATGAGGACCACTCAAATGAAACTTAAACTGGAACTTTCCATTTATAATAAAATGTAAAACATACAGGCCCTTTAAAGAATTGAGAACCTTTATATATCATCAACAATAAAGATGAATATGGACATGTTGTCCTGTACAGTGCAAGTGCTGTACTATGCATTACCTCATGTTTTCAGGTCCCTGTAAATATTCAAAGAGTGAAAAGAATTGTGAAATTCTGTATTAATTGTAAGCTTTCAACAAAGAGATATAGTCACAGAAACTAAAACGAAATGAAATGGTTTCATATTTTATACTTCCATTCAAGTTTAGAAAAATTTTATCAGCAAATATTTCTTAATGTTCTTCATATTGCATGTCATCTGAAGTCAAAATACCTTCTGTAACATATAGACTTGTAAAAAAAAACTCTGCACAGCTGTGTCCAAATTTGCCAGCAAGATGAGTTGCATAGGTTCCTGATTGTTTGCACGGGCCATGTGTCACTTTATTTAACAGTTTTAGGAGGTGTCAAGATTGCCTTACCAATTAGCTCAAAGTATTTGTTTGAGTGATGGCAAAGAGAAGTAAAGGGGATCTTGTCAGTATTGTCTACTTAGACTTCATAAAGGCCTTCGATTCTTTTCCACGTAAAAGGTGATGTGCTAAATATGAAGTGCTTGGGATCTAGGGTAGAGTGAGTTACTGAATAGGTACCTGGTGAGGGCTGAGAGAGATTTAGAGTGCCTTGAAGAATGGAGTAAAACATGGTTTATGAAGTTAACAAGAGTAAGATCCTTCATGTATGGTGCAGTAACAATAGGTCTCTGAATGTGTTTGGCAATTATGCAGGTGAATTAGGAGAGAGACTCAGGGATTACAATCAAGGAGAAACTTGTTCTCCTTTCACATGCTGGCAACTATAGCCAAGTGTAACAAGATCCTAGGTTTCATCTGCATTCAATTGCCACTAGGTGTTTCTGCTCTATTATCCCATTGTTTTCTGCATTGGTTAGACCCTACTTAAGAGTATTGTGTTCAATTCTGGAGGCCTATGAATATAAGTGACTGACTTGGTGGTGCTAGAGAGGGTTCTCAAGCAGGCTACTAATATGATCAAGGGGGTGCATGAACTCTAGCATGAGAGATGTTTAGAAGTGCTGGGGCACTATTCACTTGAGTGAAGATTGATGGGGGGGGGACTTCATCCAGGCATTTAAGGTCATTAAGGGAATTGATCACATGGAGCACAATAGGTTTTTTCAACTTAACAGTAACAACTGGAAACAGGAGAATCAGTTCCTATAGCAAAAGCCCCAAGTGAGACTTGGGGAGCAGAATAACTTCTTCTCTTCTAGGGTAGTAAATGCATGGAATGCATTAGACAATCATGTAGTGGTTGCCCATTCTTTGACTAGCTTTGAGAAGTTTGGTGTCTTCATGGGGGAAAAAAATGGACCAAAGTAGAGTTATGCAACTAGGCAGTAGATGGTAGTGCTCTCACAAAAGTATGTATCTGAACCCCTTAACACTTTGACTGCCAAGGATTGAAATACCCAGCCAGCCTCTCCTTGCCAAGCACTTTCCAGAATGGCAGTGGAGGTTCACTGCCCCAAATATGCCAAGACTGCTGGGGATTGAAATGCCCAGCCAAACTCTCTTTGCTTATGACTTCTCCCATGCCAAACAAACCATATGGCTTGAACAGCTGTGGAGGTTTGCTGCACCAAACACACATGGTGTGAACAGCAGTCAAAGGGTTAACTGGGTATGACATGTTTAGATGTCAATGTGAAATGATACCTGAGTCTTATATCTGGTGCCTATATCTGGTGCTACTGGGGTAATGGTCTATTATTGAGGTGCTACTGGGGCAATGTTGAGCTAAGATGTACAAGGTGTCCTCAAGGAATCTTTACAACTTTCATTACTCATAAATTATAAGGTAAGATAAAAAGGTACAGTTTTTTTCTCATGAAAGGTCAACCAATAAAGTTTATGGTATGAATGTTTCTATTTAAAGATAGTAACAAGTTTTTTTTTGCAGGATTAAGTAAGAATTTATAAAGATGACAGCTCCCCAAGAAAGGCCCATTGTGTAGCCTGGTTTATAGAAACCAAATCAAACCAGAAACTCAAGTTCAACGAAATTTTCATACTAAATATGGCAAGAGTACGACATCACGTCCATCCATTCAAAAATGGCACTCCTCATTCATGGAGACTGGAAGTGTCCTGAAACCAGGCTCAGGCTGTGTGGGCACTAGTCCTGAAAAAGTTGAACATGTATGACTTGCCTTTGAGTGTCTACAAAAGTCTGTATGAAAATGTGCAAAGGAGTTGCATGTCTCTCGATCAACTGTCCATAAGATTGTAAAAGTGGACAAATGCTGTGACAAACTCTTGGAGTCATCATTTCATGTGCAGAAAGTTCTATCTTATTATGTTTCTTTATTAAAGAGTTTAAACATTTTAAAGATGTAAAGTTTTCTTGTGGACACCCTGTATATTCCTTGGCAGCCGATATTGATCCAATATTGGGGAGCTACTGGGGGAAGCACTTGCCAATATTGAGCCATTCTTGGCTGGATTAATTGGTCTTCCTCTGGCTGATGAGACATTTCAGCCTTGGTTGGCCCAAAAATGTTTGACAGTCTTGGAATGGTCTTGTATTGATGTATGACCATAGAGTTATGAATTTCCAGCCATTCCATATATATTGGTTAGCTTTGAAAAGTACTTGTTATCATGGAAAGTAGTATGCCAAAACTTAGCTTTTTTTTTCTAAAAATAATATGAAAAATGACCCTCCAAGCATTAAAATAATGTAAATTTCATGGGTTATATACTACTGCTAGCTTGAGAAGATGGGCCTCTGCTAGCCTACTTGCTAGGCAGGATCAGCTGGGTTTGGATTGATTTTACGGTAGATTTTTAGCCATTAAGATATGTTTTTGTGTGGAGGACCTGAGGGCCTATGAGGAGAGACGTATTTATAGCTATTGTTTCATTTTCACTGGTCTAACGCGTTCAGTGTTTTATGAATCGTCAGTGACACACACAACCTATATACAGTGCCTATTGGCAATTTGGCTCTGCATTGAATATGTTATTGTTGGTGTAATGCAGTATGGTGTATTGGTGGTGTTGACGCAGAACCACTGTCCAGTTGTAGTTGTTTAAAACAAGGATGTGTCTATGTTCCAGATTTGATCCTGATCGCTTCCTGCCTGAGAATGCCAAAGAAAGACCTTCATTAGCATTCTGCCCATTTGGTTTTGCTGGAAAGAGGAAATGCCCAGGATATCGGTAAGCTTCAGAAAGAGTCATTAGTGAAAAAAGTGCTCAGACCAAATGTTCATGTTGTATATTGTCCTGGAAAGCCTTAATGCCTCAATTGTGTGTTCTAAATCTATGTAATGTTGAACTGATTATCAAAGGAGGAAAATGAGTATCAGTAATATGAGATGAAAGTAGCTGTCACCAATGGAGATGGTTAAAAGTGGCTCTCTTTTATCAATTGTTTATGGAGATCTTTATTCACTCCCTATTTATCTCTGAATCAAAATGGAGCATTCATTTACACCCATAGTCTGATGTGAAATTCATTAGGTCTTTGTGGCATTGGCCACAGACCAACTTATATAAAATTTATGAATCTATTTCACGTGCTTGACACCCCATGTATCAAATTAGGTACTAGCTCTGTATCAATCCATGTATTAGGTGTTTCAAAAAGAGAGTTAGCACTGTACTAATATGATGTTTCATCTATTATCCTGAACTCTAAATGATTCCTGTAGCAGTTAAAAGGACAAGAGATTAAAGTCTCATATGCTAAAGACTGAAAGTGAATCTACTCTTAATTGAGATAGGAGTGAGTGAGTAGGCTTAAATACATTTACTCACAAGCACTCTCATTGAAGAATGTGCTAGGAATAGGCTTCTCTGCAATCCTAGTGTTCATTTTTGGATAGGGCAAAACTGTGAATTCTGCAAAAACTTTGGACCCAACTATTTGTTCCCTTGTTTCACTGGAGCTGATGGTGTCTGTGTGCGCAGGGCCCTGTTGTATTATGCCTCAATGAAACTTGAGGAAAAGATGAATCAGATGACTCAAAGCATGGAAGGATATCTCTCATTAGAATGTTGAGAGTTAAATTTTTTTGTGATCATCCTTCCTGATGGGTATTTGGCTCATTCTGCACCCCTTCTGCTGAAGTTGCAACACTATTCTGGGAATTCCACAACCCTTACTTTTTCCATGCCCCCTTGCCCTTCAAGGGCTAAGTCCCATACACTTGCATGTTTGTAGTCCCATACACTTTGGCAATGATGGATAATAGTTCTTTCCATGTTCAGATTTACCAGTAGTTCAGGTATAAGGTACAAAATGACAACTTAATTGAACAAAGCACAAAAAGACGTCTCCAAGATTACCCATGGCAAGTAAAGGGCTTGTTTTGTCTTTTCTCTTGGTTTTTCTTTGATTATAGAAAGAGGGGGCCCCAAGGCGTGTTTGAAAGAGGAAGGATCTCTAATCTATGCTGCAAATTTTTTTGGTTCATTTTTTAAAATTATTTTATGAGGAAGGATCTCAAATCTATGCTGCAAATTTTTTTGGTTCATTTTTTAAAATTATTTAGATTTATTTTATTTCAAGAGAGTGAAATTATCATACTATCGATTTCCAATGTTGAAGCACAATTTGCCTACCCTCCTCTATCCGTGGTTGTTTATGGCATTCCATACATTTTGGAGTCCATGGCAATCCCGTTCTGCCAGACTTTGCGATGTTAATTGCCATGTCTTGATCTTCCTGCAAATACTTATTGCCTGTCCTATCCTTCTCGCTGATTGCTGTTGGCTGTTTCCTTCGTCCTCTGTGCAGTACACATAATGTTTTAACATATCTTAATTCCACATTCTCATTTTTCATTAATTTTGCACCCATCAGTTACCTGCAAAGAAAGAAACAAGAATTGATGTTGTGTAACAGTATATTCCCATATGATGCGCGACTTTTGTGCCACCCTGTGCATTATAGTATATTATTTTTGTGTTGAGGGTCCTAACAGTCAGCATCTGGCCTGGTTTTGCTTAGGCTCTCATGGCACTAACTTTGGCAGACTGCGGAAGCACAGTTGTGGCTTTGCATATGCAGGGCTACTCCCAAGCTAACATCTTGAGAATGCTGGGAATGAAAGAATTCTCACAGAGGTTTGTTATTCGAACTGTCAAGCACTTTGCCAAGACTGATAGCACAGATGATCGACCATGGCCATTTTGTACTGTTCTAACACCAACATTGAAAAAGAGAGTGAAGAGTCAGGTGAAGTGGAATTGAAAGCAGTCCATAGGAAAGTTGGCAGGTGAGATGAAGATCATTTGGGAAACAGTGCTGCTGCTGGTCACAAAGGACCTTTGCATGCCTCCCTACCAAGAATCCAAGGCTCATGAACTGGAAGCAGCTATCCATTATGAGAGACTAGACCAAAGCAGAAGGGTGTTGGAACAGTTCATAGATGAAAATGTGGAGCATACCCTCCTATCAGATGAGAAGATCTTTATGACCCAGCTAGCCTTCAATGCCCAGAACAAATGCCTGCTAACCACCAACTCAGCAGGGATACCATCTTAGCAGAGAATTGTTTCTCAGTGGCAGCAGCTGCCTGGAGTGGTGGTTTGGGCTGGGATTTCAGCAAATGGCTGCACAGACCTGATTTTTGTGCCAGAAGGAGCCAAAGTGAACATTAGTTCACATTAGTACTGTTAACCGATTTTGGAGCCTGTTGTAATGCATTGTGGTAAAAAATCTTCAACAACCAACAGTGGTCCTTCCAGCAAGACTGTGCCCCAGCCCACTTCACCAAAGGGACTCAGCATCAGTTGGCACACAACCTGCCAGATACATGCCAATGCATCCACTTCATCAAGTGGATTTATTGCCCCCCCATCATCTCCAGACCTCAATCCCTTGGACTACTCTGTTTGGTCACTCTTGGAGGCCAAGCTTTGCCCTTGCCCACACACCAGTGTGGAGCCACTGAAGTGGTCCCTTGTTCAAGCATTCCTCAAGAGACTTTGCGTGCTACATTCTTTGACTGCCATTGTTCTTGAGGCATGTGTTTAAAAGCGTGGTGGAAATTTTGAATAACTCCTAGATTAAAAGTTGCCTAACATTTTGTTTAGTATTCTTGGAATCCCTCGTCTTTCTTGTACCTTTTGTATTGATACAGAGCGAAAATAACTAAAGGGACAGAACTTATTTTTCACCCTGTACATGCTCCCATTTGCTCGATTGGAATTCCTATCCAGGTTAACTTAGGTTAAAAACTGTTTCTCATCAACTGAAATTGTCCTAAGTCCTTCCAGCCCTGACTATCATTTTGCTGAAGTAATGCAATGCTGAAGTAAGTGCAAAGAAGGGCAGTGCAAAGTTGTAAATTTGGGTAAGAAACTTGTGGGTTCCTGATTTATTCAACTACATTATGCAGATTTACTTAAGGTAAAATGTCATAGCATGCATGCTAACTTGACTGTTCAATGGATGTTGTACTAATATTTGTCATGCAGAACTCCAGAAAACCTCAGCCAAACCATATGGTTGGGAAGCAAAACATTTTATTTATAGCTACTGTTCCACTCGAATGCACTCGAATTCAATGTTATTTCGAAAATTACAATATAACGTCTCTTCTTCCTGTGATTTTTTCACTTTTTTTTTCGAATTCTACATTAAAAATTGAACTTATTCTTTTGAAAAAGTTAACTCTTTCATGCACAAAATTTAAGGGAAAAAATCCTTGCTGCATGTGTTTTTATTTTCAGGAAAAAATTTGTAATAAGATACATTTATTTGAGTAATACAAGGTGATTCCGGAAATAAACCACCATGCTGCCTCAAAACATCAAACAGGTAGTACATTAATTGTACCACCATGCTTTAATACATTAAAAGATGGTGGTACAATTTTTGTACCACCGACCGACCGAGTTAATGGAATAGATTTGTTTTGCTTGGATCTTTTCCCTTCAACATCCACGTCCTGACCGAATTCCTGCCGAGGAATTTGATCGGTCAAAAAATAGTGGAAAAAAAAGGACAGGAAGATTTGACGTTTTGCTGCTATTTTCTCTTTTCAAAAAAACCATTGAATTCGAGTGCATAGTTTAGTGCAACAGGAGTAACAAACAGGCGAGCTTAGGGTGACCAGACGTCCCAATTTAGGCGGGACAGTCCCACTTTCAGACCACATGTCCCGGTGTCCCCCGATGAAGTAGGCGGGACGCCCATAGTCCCGCTTTCGGGAAATGTCCAAGAGAATGACATGACTGTCGAATTTCTTCCCTTGCGAGTTTCAGAACTTGTAAAGAATATCACATCGAGCTAAACCTAGCGAATATCATGATTATGAATCTATGAAGCATACCTTCTGTCTTTTTTTTTATCCATGGCAACTGCGTAGATATAAATTGGCAATGCGAATTTGGATTATCGAACAACAAAAAGCCTAAAAACATGCTAGCTTTTGCTAGCAAGCACCTCATGCTCATGTGCACTGCAGAAGGTGAGGCCGGCCCCCCTGCTATCGTTTACTTTTATATTGCTTGAACAATAGGGTTAGTGCTGCGAATGTCGGCACTCTAAGCAAATACTTCACTTCCACCTTGCTTGCCGATTTTCGTAATGGAGCTTTCTAGTTCATATTGGGTCTGGTGATACCTTTATTATAAGACTTCTTGTACTGCAAACCTCGAGTGCCCCAGCCCTTTCATTTCCGAGGGCCTGGGTCAAAGGTGAAGTTGGGTTAGATGTTGGCAATCTCGGCACACTTATGTATCACTGTCGTTTACAACAGACTCAAAAATGAATGCAACGACCAGATAAAACAATACCTAGTGCGGAAGAGAAGAACGTAATGTGTTAAAGCTTAGCAAAATCACAAGATTTCGCAGGATTTTCGGAATGCGCTTGGAGAAAGGGCTACTGCGAGAAAACTACAACACAAATATGATTGTTCCAAGCACATGTTAACAACATTAGTCCTACCATCTGAGAATACGTATCTACTCGTGCCTATGGGGACTAGTAGTGAAAGCAGTATTTTGACGATTGCAAAGTGCCGAGATTACCCCCAGTGCCGACATTCGCAGCACTTACCCTATGATACCTTTATAGTTGTCAATGAGTCAGAGGAAGCCTCCAGGCTGTGGTCTCCCCTCAGCGAGGAGTCAACTTTCAGAGATTGGACTTGGCTCGTTTTGCGTCAATCGAGAATGGATCCAATGGTTCTCAGAGATTTCTTTCAGGTATTTGATATCTTAATATATATTTTCAAATTGTATGGGTAAGTGAGTCCAGAGAATTTTTGAGGAAGCCGGACCTCCCTCTTGCAAAAAAATGGGCCAAACCCCCTGCTCATGATAGTACCTCATCCGATCCCGATCCAATGGGGGAAGCAAAAGGGGAACGAGGCTAGAAAGGGGCAAAGATGGGAGCGAAAGGTGTGGGTCACGCCAGTCACATGTGGCTACTCGCTGCAGTAAAATGAAAATGTCGCAAAAGCGTCCTGCACATGTGACGCTGCTGACATTTTTTCTGAAAACGGAAGGACCACAACTAGGATGAAAGTCATGAATAACGTACAGGTTAACAAATTTCCAGTTGCTTATCTGCAGTGAAATCTGGACTGAATCCCGAAATTAAATCTGTTCAGCTTTAGCTTTTGCTTCAAATATTGAATGCGCTTGTATCATTGTTTAAATTTTGTTTCCACCATTTAATGAAAACTTTCCGTTTCATTTTCTTTGTTCGCGTGTTTGACGTCGTTCCGCGTTTTCCTCTTCTGAAGACTTGATAACGCCTTCTTGCATTCGGAGACACTTGAAAGGCAACTCAAAAGAACTTTCTCGAAACTCTCAATCCCCCCACCCCAACTTTAGGGCTGGTTGCTCAATGCACAATTAAATAACAGTTCTAATTCATGTTTTGGCAATAATAAATACAATTGTCAGTCCAACAAATACATTAATATTCTTTTTTATGAGGCAAGGGAAGTATTTATTGGGCTTCTCACTTTTGCGACACAGAAATCTGGTCACCTTAGGCTAGCTATTGTCAGTAAATACTAAGTTCAGGAGGGAACCTGAACTTAGTATTGTATAGAACCAACTTCTTTTCTTCTGCAATAGGCCAAAGTTTCCTACATTGTTTTCGGATTGAATTTCTACCCCCTCCTCTCTCCAGTGGGGGATACATAAATTTTTCCTATGGGGACGGTTCCAAAGTTCCCATCTAACCTCCCCCTCCGCCTAACACCATTCCCGTCCTATCGCCTTTTCATTTTTCGTCTGGGGTAAAAACTTGAATAACTATTTCACTGGCCCCAATAAAATTTAATGTAGGTGCTATTTAAAAAAAATACAAAATAGAATGCTAACCTGGGCATAGGGGGGGCGTCCCCCCCCCCCCCCCCCCCCCCCCCCCCCCCCCGCCCCCCCCCCCCCCCCCCCCCCCCAGCTATTTAAAAAAAAAACAAAATAGAATGCTAACCTGGGCATAGGGGGGGCCCCCCCCCCCCCCCCCCGCTGGATCCGCCGCTGGATCCGCCACTGCCCCCTCTGTATTCGAGGACGGAGAAAACACAACCCATATTATCATGTGATGTTACCACTCCCTCAAGATGTCACTACCTACAGGGTCTTACATAACCTTTTGCATTTATGGAGGATAAAAAATGTGTTATAAATTTTTTAAAAGCTAATTTTATTCTCATGTCATATTTTTCATTGAAAATTATAATCGCTGGGGTGGTTGGCGATGACGAAAGGCAACGAGTGATAGACTGCACTCGAGTATACGCCAATCGAGAAGCAAGGAAAGCAGGCGCAAAGTTTATCAATTGAAAGTGAATATTTCACCACTGAATCGCAATGAGAGATTGAGCAACTGACAACTGGAACAAAGGATACGAATCTTGTTTGACGAAATTTGATGACGGCAGGCCAGAAAAATTGTCTGAAGTGAGCAAAAATATTGTGATGGAGAACAGTGTGAAAAAAGACAAAGAAAAAAAGCTGCGGTCAAGTTGCAAAAAATAATTCAAAGTGATGTGGAAAGCTAATCAGACGACAATACCGTATCAAGAAAGGGATGAAAGTTTTAAGAAAAAAATATAAAGTATGATGATTAGTGAACTTGGTTCTGACCGAAATTCTGAAGCAGTTGTCCCGCAAAACTTCCAAAATGTTATTCATGAAATGGAAAATGAAACATAACTTTTTTGAACATTTTTAAAAATTATACTCTCAACTTTTTAGGGCTGTACGTGAAGCCAATGGCGGTCGCACAAAATACTGATGCATTACTGTATTCAGGTTGAATAAAGGTTTAAATTGATATATAACTTACAGTTGTTCTGTTGTTACTAAAGCAGCAGTACTCAAACTGCGGGCCGCATGTGAGTCTTTGTTTTGCTAATAAATACCATTGCACGAGTGATATTTGGATATTTGGGCTGACTGGATTTCTTTTTATTCTTGCTAGTATTTTCTTTTAATACGGCCCGCGCAAGGTTGGTCACATCCGTATGTAGCCCCCAGCTTAAAAAGTTTGAGTGCCACTGTACTAAAGGTTGCACCCCTCTAGCAAAAGGTTATGCAAGACCGTGTACATGAGATGGAAGAGCTCCTGTGGGGTAGGGGGAATTCAATCACAAAACAGTGAACAGGGCGTAAAGAAACCTTTTTCTCCCCCTATACAAAGAATACGACACAATGGGGGAAAGCAGTGCTTTAATCAAATTATAACTCCTTTCAAGAAAGAATCGTTCCTGTTATCAATCATTTGTATTTCGTCCCTTTGACCGCCTTACAACTCTTATTTGCCATAGTTCGCTTACAAGTTTTAACCCTTCGATGCAAGACGTAGCAGATATGCTACATACCTAGTAAACATTTTTAGAATGAGCACGTAGCGAGATCTTGAGGTAAATCTGTTCGAAGCAGATGTGCATCTGTCCACGGTGTCGTATGTGACATCCGTAATAATATTTTTAGTACACAAAATGTATTTAACTATATTATGGATGACAAATCAGCATATAAAGGCTGTAACAATTTGCTTTGGGTAGTGACTGAAAATTCCATAATCCAAAGTCTTGCACTCTCTCTTTCGTTAGAGGTGTACCTATGTGCAAAGAAAAGTGTCGGACGTGACATTTCGTGAACCTCAAGTTAAAAGTCACTTGCACTAATATTCACATATCTGTCATCGAGCAGATCCTAATAATTTAGTTTCATGTTCATTCTATAGATGGAATGAACGCCTGGAATTAGTGTAAGTCACCCCAAGATGACAACACTTGAAACAGAAAGCAAGCCTATTTTGTGATGGTGTCAGATGTGACATGTTCTGAAAATGTATTTTGAAACGGGAAGTCTGTACATATATATTAATTTTATTTAAAAGATATTATTCAAATGTGAACAATTAACATCTCCTCTTCACACCTGAGCTGATTTGAAATTATCAGTATGCATGGAAAGCCCATGCTGGAATCTGTTCCAGTAGTCAATTCAGTATCTCCAGATTAGCATTTTCATCACATTTTTGAGTATCATGAGAGTGGTATGAATGATATATCATAATTATGCCAAATTCTTTCATTTTTCAATGTAATATTCTCTTTCATGTATTCTAAGAAAAGAGATGATGAACTTTTGTAGCGAAAGTAATATTTGCATATTTAGGAAAATTTCTGGCTAAAATTCTAGGACCACTTGGCGTGGACAGACCCATGTGCAACAGTCTGGTCCTAATATTTAGCAACGATAAGGTCGCTAGGCGTCATACACTCCTGGTGGCAAGCAAAAAAAAATCAGGTTTTGTCGTTTGGCAGATTGACGTTTTTGATGCAATTTTCTTAAACTTTACGCTAGTCCAGCGTCCAGGTTCATCCGTATTTTTACATTTTCCTTTGCGTTGAGGTATATATGAATGTTGACGGACCGACTGAGCTCTCTTTAGCGTCCATGCAGCGTGGGTTAGAAAGCTGAAAATGCTGTTTGTAGCAAATGAGCAACAATAACATTTTCGGGCTTACTTCTTACTAATTTGATTTAAAAAGTGGGGAGATTTTTTTCGCCGAAAAAAAATGCATTAAGGGGTTAATTCTTGTTCCAATTTTCCTGAACCCCCTCCAATGACCTTCCAATCTTTACTGCTATCCTGGTCTGGTCGATAAAGTCAGTGTCGTGTCTCGTGCCGCTCGGAAGGCAATGGTGCGAATTCTACTTCATGCCATGGTCTGTTCACTATCACAGAACTTTCCAGGCATAACTCTTGGATATCTGATATTAGAGACTTAAATCCTTAGGCAAACCAGGAATTCAAAGGTACGTTTTCAGCTGTACATGTCTTCATCCAATGGGCAGGGAGTTAGAAAGTTAGAAGTGGATTTTTTTTTTACGCCCTATATGTTCCACTAAGCACAGTCTTGGAGTATGACAACCTGCGCCAAGGTGGCGCCATACCCATGGAAGAGTGACCTTTTTGTGAACGGAGTTTTTCCCGCGTCAGTTTCAAAACCTAGGCTTAGGTTGAAGACGAATCCATCGTGGGGAAATCCACTGTGGGGTACCTAATGTGAGGTGTAGGTTTTTTTTCATGGTGGGAGCTATTTGAGTTTGGCTCAGCCTCAAGCATAATACTTTTTATCGACTGCACAATGCACCTAGGCCCTTAACTTGAAACCCTCTGCGTCTTTCACGAAGTTCTAGGCCTATATTCCTCATATCACATAGTGTAGTTTTTGTTCGTGTACAGCGTTTGATACTGGCTATGACCTGCTTTGACTTTTTGCATTACTAACGTAGATTCATGCAGATTGAGTTCTTCAAATATCGCACGCCTTGGCCTAATAGCCAAAAATTTATTGCTGTTATCATAGGCTTACATTTTAGCATCATGCAGCTGAGTTGGAGCATTGTATGTGTTGTGTACATCCCACCCCCTTAGGTAGGGGGGTGGGCTTACTTTTGATGTGGACTTTCCCCATGCACATCATGTACATTGCAATCCTTCTTCTATTAGCTGTTCCCACTTTCATGTGGGGTCGCTGCAGCAGACACCAATCTCCTCCATCTGTCTCTGTCCTGGGCATCCTCCTCCTTAGCACCAATACCTCTCATGTCCTTCCTCACACAATCCATCCATCTCCATTTAGGCCTTCCTCTTCCTCTCTTTCTGGGCAAACCCAGCTCCATTGTTCTTCTTCCAACATAGGTTTCTTCCCTTCTTTTCACATGTC